CAGCGGGTCAAGATTTTAATATAATCTAGGTTCTTGAAACGAGTTCTCGACGGGTCTAGATTCTCCGTCCATAGACCTGAGTTTGGCTTTATTGGGTTGTATTNCCTTGTACTTTGGGTTCTTGACATAGGTTCTTCAACGGGTCAAGATTTTAACATAGTCTAGGTTCTTGGAACGAGTTCTCGACGGGTCTATATTCTCCGTCCATAGACCNTTCTAGGGTTACAAAAAAAAAATGGGCTTCCGAAATTCTTAGGGTTTTGTGGGGCTGCCAAAAATGTCATTGTTCTAGGGTTTGAATTATTGTTAGGGTTTTTTCAATTGCTTATTATTTAGTTTGTGGTCGACTCAGTTGGTAAAGAAAAAAAAAATTCATTCAGAAAAAAAACAGAAAAGGGAAAAAATAAAAAACAACAACAGAGGAGAAAATCCAAAAATATTTTTTTTTAGAGCCTTATCTTCAAAGGGCTGCATACTTCATTATAGTTGGTATCTTGTCTTTTAATTACTCTATCATTCGCATAATTTTCTTGATTCTCGTGTCTTTTTTATTCCTTTTGTGTTTCTACGGTTCCTGTTCTTTCCGTGTTGACTGAGTTCAATTAGTTCTTAAAGAACGTGAGTGGGAAAAACTTTGGGTAAAAGGAAAGAGAGTGTAAGACCAGTATTGGCAAAAAAAGCCAAATAAGAGTTAAACACGTAAGGGGGTGTGTGAGGTTCCTTTTTACCACTAACATTCTTTCTGTGCAACACATTACAATATCTCACCAACGTGGCTGATCACCAAGTGGGATGACCGATATCCCATTCTTTACGTTGCAGGGCATGCAACATCAATTTGAGCGGTTGAACTTGGTGTTTGGGGAAGTGAGGGATAGGACTNGTAAAAGGAAAGAGAGTCTAGGACCAGTATTGGGAAAAAAGCCAAATAAGAGTGAAACACGTAAGGGGGTGTGTGAGGTTCCTTTTTACCACTAACATTCTTTCTGTGCAACACATTACAATATCTCACCAACGTGGCTGATCACCAAGGGGGATGACCAATATCCCATTCTTTACGTTTCAGGGCATGCAACATCAATTTGAGCGGTTGAACTTGGTGTTTGGGGAAGTGAGGGATAGGACTGATCAGCAAGAAGCAGCGATTAGAAATTTGCAAGGTGAAGATTTGAGGATGAACCTTTTTGAGGAAAGAAGGAATGATGANATTGCAAGGCATGCAACATCAATTTGAGCGGTTGAACTTGGTGTTTGGGGAAGTGAGGGATAGGACTGATCAGCAAGAAGCAGCGATTAGAAATTTGCAAGGTGAAGATTTGAGGATGAACCTTTTTGAGGAAAGAAGGAATGATGAGAACCAAGGTGGGCCTAATCTAGAAGATCCTTTGCATGCCCAGATGGCCCAATTACAAGATCAAGAGCCAAGAAGATAAAGGAAGCAATGCAAGGATTGGTGCAATCCACCTGGGATGAAGCTAGCAAGAGCCCAACACTCAAGATGGGCTCGAAGGAAGGAGAACCAATTTTGATCCACTTGATCTAAGCTGTGGAAAACACGAAGAGATGATTTAGAGACAAGGCCTTTTGTTGTTAAGGCTTTCAATTTGTTTAAAGGATTTTTATTATTAGTTTAGAATAAGTGGGCTTGAGGATGCTTGGCCCACATATGTCTTATTTCTTATGAATTAGGGTTTTTTACAAAGGCTTGTATTTTGGCCAAGGACTTAATAGNGGAAAGTTGGAGAACCAATTTTGATCCACTTGATCTAAGCTGTGGAAAACACGAAGACATGACTTANCCCCACAGATGCTTATTTCTTATGAATTAGAGTTTTTTACAAAGGCTTGTATTTTGGCCAAGGACTTAATAGGAAAGTTAATATTTTATTTGAACTAGGGTTTTAGAAGTTACTGCAGCATGACACTATTCATGCTAAAGTACCGCAACACTATTCACTCAAGGGTATTTTTGAGAGAAAGGGTCACAAATTTTAGTCTAGGGGTTTTTCAAGTTTTGGGAAGGGTATTTAAAGGATGTAACCATCCACTTCAAGGGAGACAGTACGGGAGACAATAAATTGAGTTTTAATTGTGAGTTGAGTTGAGTTTACTCCTCTTGTTCTTGATTGAACTTTTGAACTTATCAAAGGTAAATCACAACATTGTGGCGTTCCTTCTTGTACTTTGGGTTCTTGACACAGGTTCTTCAGCGGGTCAAGATTTTAATATAATCTAGGTTCTTGAAACGAGTTCTCGACGGGTCTAGATTCTCCGTCCATAGACCTGAGTTTGGCTTTATTGGGTTGTATTTCCAATGTTGTTGTTTGGTACCAAAGCAAGTCGATTGGGGTTCACATCATTTGGTATCAGAGCAAGGTTTCCAATCTGGTCGTATTCTATCCTTTTATTTCTTGCATATTTGATTCTAGGAGCTACATTGTTCTAGGGTTACAAAAAAGAAAAAAAAAAAAAAAAAGGGCTTCTGAAATTCTTAGGGTTTTGTGGGGCTGCCAAAAATTTCATTGTTCTAGGGTTTGAATTATTGTTAGGGTTTTGTCAATTGCTTATTATTTAGTTTGTGATCAACTCAGTTGGTAAAGAAAAAAAAATTCATCCAGAAAAAAAACAGAAAAGGGAAAAAATAAAAAACAACAAAAGAGGAGAAAATCCAAAAATATTTTTTTTTAGAGCCTTATCTTCAAAGGGCTGCATACGTCATTATAGTTGGTATCTTGTCTTTTAATTACTCTATCATTCGCATAATTTTCTTGATTCTCGTGTCTTTTTTATTCCTTTTGTGTTTCTACGGTTCCTGTTCTTTCCGTGTTGACTGAGTTCAATTAGTTCTTAAAGAACGTGAGTGGGAAAAACTTTGGGTAAAAGGAAAGAGAGTGTAAGACCAGTATTGGGAAAAAAAGCCAAATAAGAGTGAAACACGTAAGGGGGTGTGTGAGGTTCCTTTTTACCACTAACATTCTTTCTGTGCAACACATTACAATATCTCACCAACGTGGCTGATCACCAAGGGGGATGACCGATATCCCATTCTTTACGTTGCAGGGCATGCAACATCAATTTGAGCGGTTGAACTTGGTGTTTGGGGAAGTGAGGGATAGGACTGATCAGCAAGAAGCAGCGATTAGAAATTTGCAAGGTGAAGATTTGAGGATGAACCTTTTTGAGGAAAGAAGGAATGATGAGAACCAAGGTGGGCCTAATCTAGAAGATCCTTTGCATGCCCAGATGGGCCAATTACAAGATCAAGAGCCAAGAAGATAAAGGAAGCAATGCAAGGATTGGTGCAATCCACCTGGGATGAAGCTAGCAAGAGCCCAACACTCAAGACGGGCTTGAAAGAAGGAGAACCAATTTTGATCCACTTGATCTAAGCTGTGGAAAACACGAAGACATGACTTAGAGACAAGGCCTTTTGTTGTTAAGGCTTTCAATTTGTTTAAAGGATTTTTATTATTAGTTTAGAAAAAGTGGGCTTGAGGATGCTTGGCCCACATATGTCTTATTTCTTATGAATTAGGGTATTTTTGAAACGCTTTTATTTTGGCCAAGGACTTAGTAGGAAAGTTATTATTTTATTTGAACTAGGGTTTTAGAAGTTACTGCCGCATGACACTATTCTTGATACAGTACCGCAACACTATTCATTCAAGGGTATTTTTGAGAGAAAGGGTCACAAATTTTAGTCTAGGGGTTTATCAAGTTTTGGGAAGGGTATTTAAGGGATGTAACCATCCACTTCAAGGGAGACAATATGGGAGACAATAAATTGAGTTTTAATTGTGAGTTGAGTTGAGTTTACTCCTCTTGTTCTTGATTGAACTTTTGAACTTATCAATGGTAAATCACAATATTGTGGCGTTCCTCCTTGTACTTTGGGTTCTTGACATAGGTTCTTCAACAGGTCAAGATTTTAATATAGTCTAGGTTCTTGGAACGAGTTCTCGACGGGTCTATTTTCAAGATTTTAATATAGCAATTGTATTTCCAATGTTGTTGTTTGGTACCAAAGCAAGTCGATTGGGGTTCACATCAGTTGGTATCAGAGCAAGGTTTCCAATCTGGTCGTATTCTATCCTTTTATTTCTTGCATATTTGATTCTAGGGGCTACATTGTTCTAGGGTTACAAAAAAAAAATGGNCTTGTACTTTGGGTTCTTGACACAGGTTTTTCAACGGGTCTAGATTTTAATATATTCTAGGTTATTGAAACGAGTTCTCGACGTGTCTAGATTCTCCGTCTATAGACCTGAGTTTGATTTTATTGGGTTGTATTTCAAATATTGTTGTTTGGTACCAAAGCAAGTCGATTGGGGTTCACATCATTTGGTATCAGAGCAAGGTTTCCAATCTGGTCGTATTCTATCCTTTTATTTCTTGCATATTTGATTCTCGGGGCTACATTGCTCTGGGGTTACAAAAAAAATAAAAAAAATATCGGGCTTCCAAAATTCTTATGGTTTTGTGGGGCTGCCAAAAATTTCATTGTTCTAGGGTTTGAATTATTGTTAGTGTTTTGTCAATTGCTTATTATTTAGTTTGTGATCAACTCAGTTGGTAAAAAAAAAAAAATTATCCAGAAAAAAAACTGAAAAGGGAAAAAATAAAAAACAACAACAGAGGAGAAAATCCAAAAATATTTTTTTTAGAGCCTTATCATCAAAGGGCTGCATACATCATTATAGTTGGTATCTTGTCTTTTAATTACTCTATCATTCGTATAATTTTCTTAATTCTCGTGTCTTTTTTATTCCTGTTGTGTTTCTATGGTTCCTGTTCTTTCTTTGTTGACTGAGTTCAATTGGTTCTTAAAGAACTTGAGTGAGAAAAACTTTGGGTAAAAGGAAAGAGAGTGTAAGACCAGTATTGGGAAAAAAAGCCAATTAAGAGTGAAACACGTAAGGAGGTGTGTGAGATTCTTTTTTACCACTAACATTCTTTTTGTGCAACACATTACAATATCTCACCAACGTGGCTGATCACCAATGGGGATGACCGATATCCCATTCTTTACGTTGCAGGGCATGCAACATCAATTTGAGCGGTTGAACTTGGTGTTTGGGGAAGTGAGGGATAGGACTGATCAGCAAGAAGCAGCGATTAGAAATTTACAAAGTGAAGATTTGAGGATGAACCTTTTTGAGGAAAAAAGGAATGATGAGAACCAAGGTGGGCCTAATCTAGAAGATCCTTTGCATGCCCAGATGGGCCAATTACAAGATCAAGAGCCAAGAAGATAAAGGAAGCAATGCATGGATTGGTGCAATCCACCTGGGATGAAGCTAGCAAGAGCCCAACACTCAAGACGGGCTTGAAAGAAGGAGAACCAATTTTGATCCACTTGATCTAAGCTGTGGAAAACACGAAGACATGACTCAGAGACAAGGCCTTTTGTTGTTAAGGCTTTCAATTTGTTTAAAGGATTTTTATTATTAGTTTAGAATAAGTAGGCTTGAGGATGCTTGGCCCACATATGTCTTATTTCTTATGAATTAGGGTATTTTTGAAACGCTTGTATTTTGGCCAAGGACTTAATAGGAAAGTTATTATTTTATTTGAACTAGGGTTTTAGAAGTTACTGCCGCATGACACTATTCTTGATACAGTATCGCAACACTATTCATTCACGGGTATTTTTGAGAGAAAGGGTCGCAAATTTTAGTCTAGGGGTTTATCAAGTTTTGGGAAGGGTATTTAAGGGATGTAACCATCCACTTCAAGGGAGACAATATGGGAGACAATAAATTGAGTTTTAATTGTGAGTTGTGTTGAGTTTACTCCTCTTGTTCTTGATTGAACTTTTAAATTTATCAATGGTAAATCACAATATTGTGGCGTTCCTCCTTGTACTTTGGATTCTTGACACAGGTTTTTCAACGAGTCTAGATTTTAATATAATCTAGGTTATCGAAACGAGTTCTCGACGTGTCTAGATTCCCCGTCCATAGACCTGAGTTTGGCTTTATTGGGTTGTATTTCCAATATTGTTGTTTGGTACCAAAGCAAGTCGATTGGGGTTCACATCATTTGGTATTAGAGCAAGGTTTCCAATCTGGTCGTATTCTATCCTTTTATTTCTTGCATATTTGATTCTAGGGGCTACATTGCTCTAGGGTTACAAAAAAAATTAAAAAAATAGAGGGCTTCCAAAATTCTTTGGGTTTTGTGGGGCTGCCAAAAATTTCATTGTTCTAGGGTTAGAATTATTGTTGGGGTTGTGTCAATTGCTTATTATTTAGTTTGTGATCAACTCAGTTGGTAAAAAAAAAAAATTCATCTAGAAAAAAAACTGAAAAGGGAAAAATTAAAAAACAACAACAGAGGAGAAAATCCAAAAATATTTTTTTTAGAGCCTTATCTTCAAAGGGCTGCATACATCATTATAGTTGGTATCTTGTCTTTTATTTACTCTATCATTCGCATAATTTTCTTGATTCTCGTGCCTTTTTTATTCCTGTTGTGTTTCTATGGTTCCTGTTCTTTCTGTGTTGACTGAGTTCAATTGGTTCTTAAAGAACTTGAGTGAGAAAAACTTTGGGTAAAAGGAAAGAGAGTGTAAGACCAGTAGTGGGAAAAAAAAGCCAATTAAGAGTGAAACACGTAAGGAGGTGTGTGAGATTCTTTTTTACCACTAACATTCTTTTTGTGCAACACATTACAATATCTCACCAACGTGGCTGATCACCAAGGGGGATGACCGATATCCCATTCTTTACGTTGCAGGGCATGCAACATCAATTTGAGTGGTTGAACTTGGTGTTTGGGGAAGTGAGGGATAGGACTGATCAGCAAGAAGCAGCGATTAGAAATTTGCAAGGTGAAGATTTGAGGATGAACCTTTTTGAGGAAAGAAGGAATGATGAGAACCAAGGTGGGCCTAATCTAGAAGATCCTTTGCATGCCCAGATGGCCCAATTACAAGATCAAGAGCCAAGAAGATAAAGGAAGCAATGCAAGGATTGGTGCAATCCACCTGGGATGAAGCTAGCAAGAGCCNCTGGTGCAATCCACCTGGGATGAATCTAGCAGGAGCCCAACACTCAAGACGGGCTTGAAAGACGGAGAACCAAATTTGATCCACTTGATCTAAGCTGTGGAAAACACGAAGACATGACTTAGAGACAAGGCCTTTTGTTGTTAAGGCTTTCAATTTGTTTAAAGGATTTTTATTATTAGTTTAGAATAAGTGGGCTTGAGGATGCTTGGCCCACATATGTCTTATTTCTTATGAATTAGGGTTTTTTACAAAGGCTTGTATTTTGGCCAAGGACTTAATAGGAAAGTTATTATTTTATTTGAACTAGGGTTTTAGAAGTTACTGCAGCATGACACTATTCNTGTCTTATTTCTTATGAATTAGGGTTTTTTAGAAAGGCTTGTATTTTGGCCAAGGACTTAATAGGAAAGTTATTATTTTATTTGAACTAGGGTTTTAGAAGTTACTGTAGCATGACACTATTCTTGATACAGGACTGCAACACTATTCACTCAAGGGTATATTTGAGAGGAAGGGTCATAAATTTTAGTCTAGGGGTTTATCAAGTTTTGGGAAGGGTATTTAAAGGATGTAACCATCCACTTCAAGGGAGATAATGTGGGAGACAATAAATTGAGTTTTAATTGTGAGTTGAGTTTAGTTTACTCCTCTTGTTCTTGATTGAACTTTTGAACTTATCAAAGGTAAACCACAACATTGTGGCATTCCTCCTTGTACTTTGGGTTCTTGACACAGGTTCTTCAACGGGTCTAGATTTTAATATAATCTAGGTTCTTGAAACGAGTTTTCAACGGGTCTAGATTCTCTATCCATAGACCTGAGTTTGGTATTCTTTCCGATATTGTTGTTGGGTCACAAAGCAAGTTGATTGAGGTTTACATCAGTATTTATGGGGTATGCATCAGATTAGTTTAAATGTGCTTTATATGTGATGGATTGTGTAACGCAATGGCTTATTGCTTGTAATTGGCGTTGTATATTAGTTTTACCACATTATTGACATTGTTGAAGACCATTGAATGAGTTGGTATATGATTGGGTGAACAAACTTGTAGATGCAACCTGAGCACGCAGACCATGTTATTTCACAAGTCTTGAGGGAGAAATTTTTTTTTGTTAATATTTACAAGGGGGGATGTAGTTATGGTAATTAAACACTGATAAAGTCACTATGTTTTAGTCACGCCATTGAATTGTGAGTGGTTTTCTCATTTTTGTGGGTATTTGAGTTTTCTCTGTGCAAAACTATGGTGTGATGATATTGAAGAGGAATGGAAGAACTCTAATGGACTTGGAGAGAGAATTCTGAGGAATTAGAAGAAAAGGGTCGCAACAGAGGTAAGAGACTCTTACGAATTTCGATGTCTTTTTACTTCTAATTGTAGCGGCGAGTCATAGGTAATGTTTGTGTGGTGTTAGATATATGGATGGGTGGAAGAAAATAGACTTTCAACCTAGTTTTGAAATTTAGAACAGGGCTGAAGTGCCTGAATAGAGTACTTCAACTGGTTGAAGCATGCGTTCAACCATTTGAGTGAGGATTGAATTCAGCTGGTTGAATCAACATGATCTACTAGTTCATTATATCCAATCTTGGCAAATTTGCTGTGATGTTCTAGGCTCTTACGCAAGTAATCTAAATCCTTTTTAGGGTACTAAAAGGATCTTAATTGTGGTTTTATTGACTTACATATATGTAGAACATGGGTTCAAAATAGTCTTGAAGTGAGTAAAGTGGGTAAAGGATGAATCAAGGTTGGGGTGGTTTATAGTGCACCATTTGGATGGGAGTTTAAGACAATGCTAACAAGGGCGCAAATTCATGGCTATCTATGCATAGTTAAGCTTAAATGCATATGTGGAAGGTATTTTGTAAGTGGTAATTATGAAGTTTGTTAGGAACAGAGATGTCAACTGATATGACAGCAATGCTTAGAATCTTAACCTTGGACGGTGGATTATGCGATATCGAGTCTTGAGGTGGGTGTATTTCTTGCATGTGTATTAGATTAGTTTAAATGTGCTTTATATGTGATAGATTGTGTAATACAAGGGCCTATGGCTTGTAATTGGTGTTGTATATTAGTTTTACCACATTATTGACATTGTTGAAGACCATTGAGTGAGTTGGTATTTGATTGGGTGAACAAACTTGTAAATGCAACTTGAGCATGCGAACCATGTTATTTCATAAGTCTTGATGGAGAAAATGTAATTTGTTAATATATACGGGGGGATGAACTTCTGGAAATTAAATTATGATAAAGTAACTATGTTTTTGTCAAGCCAATGAATTGTTGAATTACTAGGTGGGGAGACTATTGGCAAAATTTAAATTGAGTTGGGATTTAGGAGTGGTTAAATGATGAAATAATAAGAACAAGATGGGAACTCAATGTATTTATTCAAGCTTTTGCTTATGAAGACACTCGGCTGAATATAGTCTCTCCAGCCAGATCTGGGCGAAATACAAAAGGGTGAAAAAAGTCTTAGGCTGTGGACATGAAAGGAACAAAAGGAAAAAAAGAGAATAGAGAAATAAAGCTCATGGGTTTTCGGGGAGAGAGTGAGAGAGAGAGAAAGGTAGTTCGCCAGGGTTGCATGTGTTCTTGAGTGAGTGGTTTGCTCATTTTTGTGGGCATCTGAGTTTTCACTGTGTAAAACTTCGGTGTGATGATATTGAAAAGGAATGGAAGAACTCTAATGCACTTGGGTAGAGAATTTTGAAGAATTAGAAGAAAAGGGTCGCAACGAAAGTAAGAGAATCTTACGAATTCTGATGTCTTTTTACTTTTAATTGTAGCAGTGAGTCATGGGTAAAGTTTGTGTGGTGTTAAATATAAGGATGGGTGGAAGAAAATAGACTTTCAAGCTAGTTCTGAAATTCAAAATAAGGTTGAAGTGCTTGAACAGAGTACTTCAACCGATTGAAGCGTGCATTCAACTGTTTAAGCAAGGATAGAATTCAACTGGTTGAGCCAAGAAGATCTACCAGTTCATCAGATCCAATCTTGGCAAATTTGCTCTGATGTTTTGGGCTCTTGTGCAATTAATCTAAATCCTTTTCAGGGTACTAAAAAGATCTTAACTCAATTAATTGTGGTTTTAATGACTTACAAATACATAGAATGTGGATTCAAAATAGTGTTGAAGTGAGAAAAGTGCGTAAAAC